GAAGTTGGAGGCGGAAGACTCGGACAAAAGGAGGAGTTGATCAAGTCGAGAGACCCGATCAAAGATCGTTTTTAATTTCCAGATTTTTCTGCAATTTCAGTTGTGATTTGTTTTCAATTTGCTATTTGCTCGTATTTTTTTGTCTATTTAAAGTGGAAGTGACGCTAATAAAATTTGAAGCTTTCCCATTACTCTCTCTCTCATATACTCTGTTTTTTCTGGGTTTCTTCTTAAACAGAGCCACGAAGCTCTGCAATTGAGGGATTTCGGGAGAAGCTTCTGATAACAGGAGGGGCATATGATTCATCAGGTGATCTTTCAAAATGATAATATGTATCATCGCCCTGATCATAACGATACGAAGGTAGAGACTGATAAGTCTGAAATTGATAGGATCTCTGATTCTGGTGATAGTTAAAATCCCAGTGCGGAACATCCAAAGCATATGAATCATAGGAGAGATCGGGATAATGCGTCCAACCCGAATCATAAGGGTCAGGGTACGGATCATCCATGAAATAGCTCATATCCTCGATTCTCTATCCATGCTCTAAAAAGGACGTACCTGCACAAACAAAGGAAGACAAAGAGGAAAGGAGACGAAGTAGCTATGGTCGAACACAGAGACAAATAAACAACGAAATCAAATCCAAATCCAAATCTAGATCCAGAGGAGATAATATGAGTGTGAGAAGATAACAAAGCAAACCATAAAGCGGTTTAAAACTATGAATGATGAACACTGCAGGCTTCAGGATTGCTTTACATGCAAGGATCTTTCAAAATATGCAAACTTAGTAGTTTATCTATCCAATCCAGGAATTCAAGCTCTGAGGTAAAGACTAACTCTCCCTAGTCTAATCTCACTATCCAGGTTTAATCCTACTAATCTCCCGATTCAATAGTCTAAAACTCCGGATGCATGAACGAACGCTATCATAATTCCTAGGCAAATACCCATCTCCTGATGTGATACATGTTCTATTTATTGAGTTATTTCCAGGTTATAATCCCATATGTCTATGTCAATTAAAACCCTAAGTTCATTCAACCAAGTGGCCAACAAGATCAAACGCATTAAGACCAACTCAATAAACTGAATACAATAGATAAATCCAAAAAGTCTGGAATTAAAAACCAAAGATCCCTACATAGCAAATCCCTAACCTACAGCTATGGAACTACTCGCTAAACATCGAGTTGACAAGGTTCATATCAATACAACAAAACATCGTAAAATAGAAGAAAGGAAGAATGCTTAGTCGATTTTCCAGCTTCGTAATCTCCGTCTTCTACTCCGATCTCTTGTCTCTTGATAATCTCTCTCTTTTTTGTGCTCTAGGATGTGTTTTATGTGAAAAGTCTGAATCAATTCGATCTTGGAGGCTAACCCTAATTATTTTCTCTTTCCTTTGGGCCAATTTGGAAGATTTCCGGATTTTAAGTGACCCGATCGTGTCTGTACAAGTGACACGATCGTGTCACATCGCAGTTTTGACGGGCTTCACGAATTTGCTCATAACTTCCTGTTCCGACATTAGATTTGGATGATCTTGGTGTCTATGTGTAGATATCGAAGAGATCTTTCCAATGATATAGAGAATGCATGATTTGGGCTTGTAGAGTGAAAGCTATCGGACTTGCAAGATCTAACGTTTTCTGAGCTTCACGTTTTCCCTGGAGACACTGCAAATGTTCTAGGTTCGTCCGTGATGTTCCGCAATCCATATTTTCCACTCATAAAGCTCTTTTTATGCATAAAAACCTATTTAAACACCAAAGAACACAACCGTGCAATATCGAAGCCAAATGTGCCCTAGAATACCTACAAATATGTAAAACCGAGTGAAATACGCTAGGCATCCTATATCAAAACATCACCCGAAATACGTGTTATCACTATAGTTCAGAACGGATGGTCCGAGGTCCAGATTCTGAAATCTTTCCGTTTTCTAAATTCGTTTATGCAATGGTTGCTTAATCTGATTAATTGTGACTCAAATAGACATGATTCAGTCTTATGGATGATCTAAGTGAATGAATACATGTAACTTAATCAAGATATTAGATATGCTTGATTGAGTGGAAGCTTTGAGATTGGAATTACATAATCGAATGGATGGTCTATTCGGATTATGTAATACATCTGATCAGGGAACAATAGTTGATCCTTGATTCGATTGGTACAATTGTTGCACCTAAACCGGTTAGATCTAGGAGCTCTTCGAGTAAAGCACTTGTCAAGGCCTCAATCGTATGTGTCATGGGTCATGCCAAAGCTGGGTGTGCTGTATTATCTTGGTGCGACAAGATGGAGAAATGGTGGTTCTCATAGCTTGAAAGTAGAAGCTTGATCTAAGTGTGGTTTAAAAATCCCTTTCTATGTAATGCTAAGCTTGTACCTTCCATTACTAGAGCACTTGTCAAGACATCGATCGTCCGTATCATGGGTCATGCCAAAGCTGAGCGTGCCAGATTATCTTTGTGAGGCAGGGTGGGAAATCGTAGTTTCCACAGCTTGAATATGGTTTAGCTTAGATTAAATTGTCAAGTTTGACTTGAGACTTAACGGTATAGATGAGACGAGTATGCAATGATATTTGATATCATAGTCTCATAAAGGATCTAAGAGTCGCATTGGATGTGATTATCCCTACATAGCAAATCCCTAACCAACAGATATGGAACTACTCGCTAAACATCGAGAAGATAGAGTTCATATCAATAATACAAAACATCGTAAACTAGAAGAAAGGAAGAATGCTTAAACGATTTCTCGGCTTCATAATCTCCGTCTTCTACTCCGATCTCTTGTCTCTTGATAATCGTCCCCTTTTGTGTGCTCTAGAGTATATTCTCTGATAGAAACTTGAATAATTTCTAACCTAGAGGCTTTCCCCTTTTATTTCCCATTGTTTTTGGCAAAATCGAAAGTATTCCTGTATCTGGGGGTCGAATTGATCATTTCGTGCATGACCGAACCGATCGGTTCCACTTTCTGAGTAATTTTCCAATTTCTGCATCGCTGATCCAATCGTTTCGTCTACACCAAACCGATTTGTCACGATTATGAGTAGTTTTGATGGGTTTCACAAATTCACTCATAACCTTCTGCTCCGATATCGGATTTGGGTGATCTTAGTCTCTATGCGTAGATATTGAGGAGATTTGATGTTGAGAACGCATGATTTGGACTTGTATAGGAAAAGTTATTGAACTTGCAAAATCTGATGTTTTCTGAGCTTCATGTTTTCTCTGTAAACACTACAAATGTTCCCGGTTCGTCCGTGATGTTCCGCAATCCATGTTTTCCACTCCTTTTGCTCTTTTTATGCATAAAAACTTGTTTACACACCAAAGAACATAACTGTGCAATATCGAAGTCAAGTGTGCCCTAGAATGCCTATAAATATGTAAAACCGAATGAAATACGGTAGACATCTTATAGCAAAACATCACACAAAATACGTGTTATCAAACTCCCCCAGACTTAAAACTTTGCTCGTCCTCGAGCAAATATCCTGTGAAAAACGATCTGAAAGGAGGGTGAGACAATGACATAACTCTAAATGATAATTAAGAGCGAAACATCTATCCAACCTAGATCTCCGTGAACAATGACCAAGTCTGTCTAGTATGATCTCCCTCTTTAAAGGATAGTCTTTCCTAGTTATGGGATCTATACCGCTATCTAGAACCAATCTAGGGACTTCAATCATCTGTCAAACATGTTTCTTGAACCTATTACACCATTCTACCTAGTCGTATCTAGTCTACGCTTTCGACATTCATTCTTTTTCTTCTTCTTTTTCTCTTATTTCATCTATCTAGATTTTTCTTTCTTTTGCTAGTATCTCAGGTTCCTAGGACATTGAAATTAAAGGGTTCCTATTCATCTTTTTTTTTCGATTTCTTTTACTGAATAACCCGACCCACAACTTAGACCCGAACCATCGAATCAATGCACTCATATCCTCGAACGATTTTCGTTGACGAGATGCTCACTATCTTTTTTTGTACATAAAGAAATAAGAATGAATTTGATAATAGACTTTACCAATTTCAGCAAACATGGGAAAGGCTCTTATAGAAACGTTTCTACTTGGCTAGACAACATCGATCTCATCGGTTCCAACCAACGATTTCTATCCCACAAGCTATTTTAGACGGATCACCATGTTTTCAAGACGTTTTACTCTCTCATGCCATGAACCATCACATCAATTCTACTCTAAAACATCCTATATGCACATGCAACTAAAAAGTGAAAAGAAAAAAAGGAAAAATGCATGCAACACTACTCTAACTAGATATGGTTTGGCATTAGACGAATACTCCCCCAGACTTGAACTAGACACTATCATCGGTGTCAATTCTCATCTAGTAGAGACAACCAATAAGATGAGTGAAAAGAGAAGCAAATCAAAAAGGGAAAAGAATACTTAGTTCGCGATGTTCGTTCACTCGCACTTAAGTCTGCCTATGTCAATCGCATAGCTAGCTTCCTTGTCTCTTCAGTAACTCCCGGTTGGAACTCAACCTAGAGTTAAAAGATACAAACCAATATCCGATGCAAAAAGAAAAAAGAAAGGGAAGAAAAACTAACCTAAGAACTCAGATTGTCTCCCGGAAGCGCTTGTTTAAGGTCTTAGCTTGACCGAACCTTCTCAACTGTCGTACGGGTCTAAGAGGTGAAGATTATCAATCTTTCGCCAACCTTGATCATGAACTGTAAAAGCATAATGGTCTGATAGGCTAGTGACATGTTCAACTGAGTGTGGGGGTCGTGAATGCCCACGTGAGATGAAAACAAGGCGTCATGTCGTGTTGGGGTCTGAACCAATCGGTTTGAAAATGCATAAACGATCGGTTCAAAGTTCTGTAATTCGAAGCTCGAAAGGGGTGTTCGAACCGATCGGTTTGAGTTTCTGTAACTTTGTGCTTCGAACTTTGTTTTCGAAACAGTCGGTTGAAGGTCGTGAACCGATCGGTTCGACTTTCTATAGAACTTCAGCATTGAGGTCATGCTCAAACCGATGGGTTCCATGATCTGAAATGATCGGTTTGACATTCTGAGTAGCATTGTCGAGCGTGTTGATGAAGCAAGCAGATTCTGTTGATGACGGTTGTTTGAGATTTTTGTCCAAAGTGAACTCCACCGTCTTATCTCCAATCTTCATTGTCAGCATACCTGCTCGAACATGGATAACTGCATCTGCAGTGTTAAGGAATGGACGACCAAGAATGATAGATACCTTAGAGTCTTTGTCCATGTCGAGAACCACGAAGTCAACTGGAATATAGAAATTCCCGACTTTCAATGGCGCATCCTCAAGTATTCCAGTAGGGTATTTAACAGAATGGTCGGCAAGTTGAAGAGTCATTCCAGTGGGTTTTAGCTCACCCACATTCAGCTTCTTGAAGATCGATAATGGTAGAAGACTGACGCCGACTCCTAGATCACAAAGTGCACGACCGATGAAAATATTATCCAATTTACAAGGGATTGAGAAACTACCTGGATCGAACTGCATAAGCGGAAGCTCGTGTTGGATCAAAGCGTTGCATTCGGTAGTAAGTGGAACAGTTTCAACGATCCTCTTCTTGGTCAGGATGTCCTTCAGATATTTCGTGTATGAGGGAATCTGCAAAAATAGCTTCGATGAATGGCATGGTTACCTTGAGTTTCTTTAGCATCTCAACGAACTTCGCGAATTGGATGTCTTCGTTGTGCCTCCTCAAGCGAGATGGAAATGGTACTGGTGGTGGGCTAGGAGGAGGAGGCACGTAAGCTGGCTCAGGTGTATCATCAGGAGTGTCTAAAACTGTGGTTCTCGAGCTATCGCTCTGCTCAACCGTCAGTGGGTTTCCGGTATCTACCTGCTTACCACTTCTCAAGGTAATAGCATTGACATGTTCAAGAGGGTTAGTCTCAGAGTTAGGTGGAAGAGACCCAGATGGTCTTTGAATGGCTGATGCTAACTTAGCAATCTGATTATCCACGAGCTTAAAATGAGCATCAATATTGACGAACTGTGCGCGAAACTCCTGAATTGTCTTCTCCTGAGTCTGGATAAACTGTTGAAGAAGAGCATGTGTATCTTGAACGAGATCGCCGTTATCTGGAGGTGCATGGTTATTGTAGGATTGTCCGGGAACTCTGTAGTTGGAGTTCTGATTAGGAGCCCTGGATTGTAAAGCAAAGCCGGGAGGAATCCTCTGGTTTAGGTTATTCGATGCTCTGAAGTTGTTCGGCGTGGGGTTCTCAACATTGCTCGACTTGTAGGAGAGATTGGGATGATTCTTCCAACCTGGATTGTATGAATTCGTGTAGTTGTTGTTAGCCATGTAATTCAGATTTTTGGTTCGCTCTTCCACTACATACATGCCAAGATCCTCTTGTGAAAGTGTCGGAGCATCCGTAGTAGAAATCAAATTGACGCTTGTAAACTTCGAATTCAGTGCTGCCAACTGATCAAGAACCAATTGAAGGCTAGAATCGTCGTCTTTCCTTGGTAGATCTCGAGAATATTCATTCAGAGCATCCTCTTCTTGAGCCATCATTTCAATGTGTTGTTCAAGCTCCACAAATGACTTGTTTTGGATGTTTCCACCGCAAGAAGCTCGAATTAGAGTCTTAGTATCATTTCGTAGTCCTCAAAAGAAGGTATTGACCAGGTAGTTCTTGTCGACCCCATGGTGAGGACACGACTTTTGATATCCCTTGAACATTCTCCAAGCGTCATAGAGACTCTCTCTCTGATCCTGCTTAAATGAGTATATGCCTGAGAGAGCTGCTAGAGTGCGGGGGGCTGGAAAAAATTTGGACATGAACTGAACTTCCAGCTGATCCCAAGTCTGGATGGAATCAGGTGCTAAATCATATAGCCATTCCAATGCAGCATCCATGAGAGTCCAAGAGAAAGCAAGTAGACGGAGGTCATCATTTGTCTCCCTGGCCTCTCATTTGATCGAGCGACACATCATCTCGAAACGCGTGAGATGTGTGTTCGGGTCTTCGTTTGGCCTACTGATGCGCACGCACCGAGTCTTATATTTAATACCCGATTCGTACCACTATCCGCAAGTATACGGTAGTTGTAGTACCGGGGTCGAACACGAGGACTAGGATGTATTAGTCTATCTCTAAGCTAGATTAGGTGGTCAAGTAAAAATGTGGGTTGTGGTAAGGGTCGGAATACAAGAAAGCAAGTAAAATTAACGGTTTGTAAAACGATGGTTTGAGGCGTTGTAGGTTCGGGATCCCTCAAGAATCGCATGGATAGTTAATGATGCTACAATGTCTATGGGTTATCCTCCATATGGGGGTTTCAAGCACTTCTTCTAGAGTTTGTCTCTCCCAAGCTTAAACTCACTACCTAGAGGATCGATTCACCCATCTCCCAATGATCTAAATGATCTCTAGATGCATTAGTGTACCCTATCATGAACCCTAAGCAAGTTAAGCCATCTCCCAATGTGAATAACTCACTCATTTGACATTTGATTCCAAACATCATTCCCATATCCCTATGATCAATGTGTTCTACAATCATATCAATTAGAGTTTCAACCAAATCAATAGCATTAAGCACAAAACATCAAACCCATGGAAGAAACTCAAAGACATCATAGATTAAGCATAAGTATCCATACAAAAGTGGGGATCCCTCACCCACAACAAAATCACTACTCCATAACTAGGGTTTTAAAACAGAAAGCAAAATGAAGAAACATGGAAAAGGAGAAGAAATGCTCAAGATGGTCTTCAATGGTGGTCCTCCTCTTCTCCTAGCCTACTTGATCTCCAAAATCCCCCTTTTCTTCCTCTCCAAGGTGATTTTTCTCCAAAGTCTGTAGCCCCCTTTTCTCTCTCCTCAAACTCCCCTTTTTAGGAAAGTCCAGAATTAGGTTTTCTCCTCAAAACATGGGCTTTTCCTTTTTGGGCCGATTTTGATTTCAGGCGGTCGCTCATTTTTCAGGCGGGTCGCTAATTTTTCTTCCGGTCGCCCATTTTTCAGGCGGGTCGCTCATTTTCCTCTGACACGCGAAAAAAACAAGCGACCGCTCATAAAATAAGCGGGTCGCTCATTTTTCTTCCGGTCGCTCATTTTTCGGGCGGCTCGCTCATTTTCCTCTGACACGCGAAAAAACAAGCGACCGCTCATAAAATGAGCGGGTCGCTCATTTTTCTTCCGGTCGCTCATTTTTCGGGCGGGTCGCTCATTTTCCT